CTCTTGTTATGGAGCACAGGCTCTAGGTGCGCGGGCTTCAGTAGTTGTGGCTCGTGGGCTCTAGAGCGCAGGCTCAGTAGTTGTGGCACACGGGCTTCGTTGCTCCGCGGCATGTGGGATCTTCCCGGACCAGGGCTCGAACCTGTGTCCCCTGCATTGGCAGGCAGATTCTTAACCACTGCACCACCAGGGAAGCCCTCTTCTTGTAGTGTCTTTGTCTGGCTTTGCTATCAGGGTAATGCTGGCCTCTTGGAATGAACTTGGAACTGTTTCTCCTCCTCAATCTTTTGGAAGAGTTTCAGGAGAATTGGTATAAATTCTTCTTTAAATATTTGGTAGAATTCACCAGTGGAAACCATCTGGTCCTGACTTTTCTTTGTTGGGAGGATTGACTACTGATTCATTCTGCTTTCTTGTCATTGGTCTCTTCAGATTTTCCATTTTTTCACAATTCAGTCTTGGCAGGTTGTGTGTTTTTAGGAATTTATTCATTTCTTTAGGTTATTCAATTTGTTGGCATACAATTCTTCCAGCTTCTTTTAAGGATACTTGTGATAGCATTTAGGGCCCAGCAGGATAATCTCCCATCTCAAGATCCTTAACTTAACCACATCTGCAAAAACTCTTTCTCCATATAAGGTAACTATTAGGGGCTAAACTGCATCCCCCCTAAAATTGTACGTCGAAGTCCCAGCCCCCAACACTTCAGAATGTCACTGTATTTGGAGATAGAATCTTTAAAGAGGCAATCAGGTTAAAACAAGGTCATCAGAATGGGCCCTAATCCACTATGACTGGCGTCCTTATAAGAAGAGGAGAGTAAGAGACTTATATGCACAGAGGAAAGACCGTGTGAGGACACAGGGAGAAGACAGCCACCTACATGCCAAGGAGAGAGCCCTCAGGAGAAACCAACCCTGTGGACACCTTGATCTTGGACTTGCAGCCTCCAGAACTGTGAGAAAACAAATTTCTGCCACCCAGTCTGTGGCAATTTGCTATGACAGCCTGAGCAGACTAATAACAGTAATATTTACAAGGTTTCAGGGATTAGGACCTGGATATCTTTGAAGCTATTATCAGCCTAGCACATTTGCTTGCCATTACCATCTTTCTACCAGGGTGTATAACTAATGAAAGCAGGGAGTTTAAACTTTTTATTTTCTTGCGGTACGCGGGCCTCTCGCTGCTGTAGCCTCTCCCATTGCGGAGCACAGGCTCCGGATGCGCAGGCTCAGCGGCCATGGATCATGGGCCCAGCTGCTCCGCGGCATGTGGGATCTTCCCAGACCAGGGCACGAACCCGTGTCCCCTGCATCGGTAGGTGGACTCTCAACCACTGCGCCACCAGGGAAGCCCTCAACTATTTTGATCTCAAAACAATGTCCATCCTTAGGGAGTTGCGTTCTGGCGGGGAAAGTCGGACAATAAACAAAGACGCGAAGTATACTGCGCTCTGTGGTGACAGGATGGGTACTGGTGATGGGTGCTCTGGAGAAAGAGAAGGCAGGGCCAAGTCATTGGTCTCCCAAGTGGGGGAGGAAGGTATAGTTTGTAATTTTATTTAATTATTATTTTTATTTTTGGCCGCACCGCATGGCTTGCAAGATCCTAATTCCCTGACCAGGGATTGAACCTGAGTCCTTTGCAGTGAAAGCTCGGAATCCTAACCACTGGACCTCCAGGGAACCCCCTATAGTTTGCAGTTTTAGAAAAGGGGTCAGGGAAGGACTTTCTGAGAAGGTGACATTTGAATCAAGACCTGAAAGAGGTGAGGATGCCAAGCACGTTGATAACGGAGGGAAGAGCTTTCTGGGCAGGAGAGACAGCAGGTGTGGAGGCTGCAGAGGGGTGGCCTGCTGCCTGCAGGGAAGGGAAGAGGGCAGTGTAACCACACGGCCTGGCAGGGGGCCGAGTAGCAGGGTGCTGGTCAAACAGCTGGTCAGAACAGCTGGGCCAACTCAGGTAGGGGCTCCTCGGCCATTGAAAGGCCTCTGGCTTGGGCCCCGAATGAGACGGGAGCCACAGCAGGATTTTGAGCAGATGTGTGACCTGAGCTGACTTATGTTTTAAAAGGATTGTTTCGGCTGCTGTGTGGAGAGAAGGCTGAAGGGGAGCCAGGGCAGAATCAGGGAGCCGAGCCTGGAAGCTGTGTCAGTCCCCCGGGCAAGAGCTGCTGGTGGACCAGGGCCTGGGGGTGGGAGGAGTGGGTGAACTCTGGTTATCTTCTGAAGGCAGTGTCCCAGGATTTGCTGGTGAATCTGGTGTGGGCAGTGGGGAGAGAAGAGGGCTCCAAATTTGCTGGCCTGAACCACTGGAGCTGCTGTTTACTGAGACGGGGAAGGTGGGGAGGAGAGCAGATTTTGGTGGGGGTGGGCGGACCCATGCTACGCAGGAGTATGAGACTTCCAGATGGAGATGTTAAGAACTGGCCTTGAACGTGCAAGTCCAGAGTTCAGGGGAGAGGTCTGCACTGGACGTGTCAGTTTGGGAACTGCCAACGCATACGTGGTATTTAAAGCCATGAATTATGAGAAATAGAAGCAGGGAGGTGCCAGGGCTGAATCCTGGGGCTGGCCAACTTTCGGAGGCTGGAGAGCTGCAGAGGGATGAGCAAGGGATCTTTTGTTTTGTTTTGTTTTTTGATTTATCTTTTCTATTTTCAGGACTTTCTCCCATAGACCTGCATCATCCAATACTGTGGCTATTTACATATAAAAATTTAAATTAAAAAACAAAATTAAAAATTCGATTCCTGGGCTTCCCTGGTGGCGCAGTGGTTGAGAGTCCGCCTGCCGATGCAGGGGACACGGGTTCGTGCCCCGGTCTGGGAAGATCCCACATGCCGCGGAGCAGCTGGGCCCGTGATCCATGGCCGCTGAGCCTGCGCATCCGGAGCCTGTGCTCCGCAGCGGGAGAGGCCACAACAGTGAGAAGCCTGTGTACCGCAAAAAAAAAAAAAAAAAAAATTCAATTCCTCAGTCTCACTAGTCATATTTTTAGAGCTCAAGAGCCCACGTAGCTAGTGGTTACACACCAGACACAGCAGATAGAGAACATTTCCGTCATCACAGAAAGTTCTGTGGACGGTGCTGCTATAGACCAACTCACACTGACATGTAGGAAAGATACGTACACACAAATGTCCAGGACAGCATTGGTCATAATAGCAAAGTGATTAAATAAATACAACAGATATAGTTACTGGTATGTTAACTCCATGAGAAAAGGGATTTTTGCCCATTTTGTTTACTACTGTATATTCAGCTTCTAAAACAGTACCTAGTGCATGGTACATAACTCCATAAGTATTTGTTAAATGAATATACAGCTGATAAGGAATGATCTTTGAAACATAGTTTTGATTAAAATAACACCAAGATGCTGAGTAATGCAACTAATATGTGTATATGTTTGTGTATGATGAATAGATGTCTCTGGAAGGCAGGGCGACCAACTATCCCAATATGCCTGGGGCTGAGGGGTTTCCCAGGATGAGCAAGGGATCTTTTTGCTGAACAAGTGAATGAATGAATGAATCTGGTTTGCCACTACTCTTGGGCAGGCTGTCACTCCTCACTGACTGTCACAGCAGCCCCCCACCCCGTGGTCTCCTTTAACCTACCCCCGACCCGCTTCTGATCCATCCTTCTCCTTTCTTCGGCTCTGCTCCCTCCCACCAGGCACTGGGAACCTTCACAAGGCTGCCCTTCCTGCTGGAAAGGTCTGACCCTCCCTACTCTCTGCTCTATTCTCTGTCTGGTAGATTGCTTCCTGTGCTCTACTGTCCTCTGGGAAGCTGTCCCTGAGCATCGCCCCACCCCCTTGCTCTTTCCACAGGGTCCTTGTGCACAGGTGCACGGATACCCATACTGCCGTCTGCTACTGTCTGCGCGACAGACTCCACCCGCACTCCCAACAAACAGCTCCCTTGCCATCCTTCTGGCCTCCACGAGTGCCCACTGGCCATGGGGTTCACTCTGATGCACACATGAGGCCATGTGGGCCCTGGAAGTGGACTTGGTGGTCTGGGGAGGAAATTCCAGAATCTGGTACCCAAGAGTGTGCTCTAGAAGGGAGTTGTGGGCTCTAGAAGGGACCTGTGGGCTCCAGGGGGGCACGTCCCCATACTCTGTGGATTTGTAGTCCTGAGGGGAGGGGGACAACCCTGGGGAATTGGGGCATCCAAGGGTAGTCCAGAGTCTCCTGTTGCCACCTGCAGAGTGTCATTTGCTTTGTTTTGTAAAGAAGTAAAGTGGTGCCCTAGTGGCCATGTGTGACAGTGAGTCTTCCTTAAAGGGGACGTTTAGAAGGAAACATCCATCTGTGTTTCTTAGGTCGGGCCATTTCTTTTCTCTCTGAAGGCTGTTCACCAAGGCCAAGCGTTTGGTCTGGACAGAAGGGTCATTTTTGTTTCCTCCATCTCTCCAGCTGTACTCTCAGCATCTAGAGGCCAAGGATTTGGGCCTAAGGGGTGAGGGCTGGGGAAGGAGTGTCTGGGTGGGTGAACCCACATCCTCAGAGGAATGAGACCCACTGTGGGTGGACGTGTGTAGGGCTGGCCGCTCTGCTTCCCCTACAAAGGGATTATCATTATGAAAGGACAGGCTGAACTAGGAGAAGGATTAATTCACCAGAAGCCAATGGCAGGTAATTGGCAGCCCCCTAAATACATCTTGAACAGGTTCCCAAGGCTGAGCCCTGTTCCCTACCCTGACCAGGAGCTGAAGGCAGATGAGGGATTACAAAGGAGGCCAAGACAGTTCCTTAAAAGGTTTTCATTTATTAGTCTTTTCTGAAGCAGTTAATTGTCTTTTCTTATTTAAAAAAAAAAAAATGTGTGTTTCACTCAGAGTTATACCAAAGCGATTAAAATGAATCTTCTACTGGGGGTGTAGCTCCCCAGATCAGAAAAAAAAAAAGAAAAGGTTTTTTTCCCCCATAAACCACAAAAATAAAACCAAAGGAGAACATCAACAGCCAAAAATAATCCCCAAACATCCAGGACAAAAAATAAAATATTTATTGCTCTATCACAGCGAGACACAAAGAGATGGGCGGGGCAGGGGGGGATATGCTCTGAAGTACAGGGGCTCCAGGGGGGGGGGACCGGGGATACAGTACTGCGTGGGGGGAGACCCAGTATGCGAGGGAGATTCCTGCTGCCCCAGTCGGGACAGCCCCTCACAACCTGGGCTCGGGGCCCCTACGTAGGGGTGTATGTGGTAGGGCAGAGGCAGGGCACAGGCTGCCATGACAGGTTAATCGAGTTGATGGTAGGGGCGCCCAGCCAGCTAGAGGTGCCGGGCAGCCAAATGGGGACCAGGACAGATGGACGGATGGGCATATGGGCGGATGAATTCCACAAGAGCAAGAGGGCTATTCCCAATGGGGGGAATCTTCCGACCTGAAGGTGCCCCAGACATGGGGAATAGCCATTGGTAGGGGAGAGGGGGCCAAGGGGGACAAGAGATGGTGTGACCGAATCCAGCTTGAGGGTTTCGATGCTTGGGTACCAACTGGACTGCAGCCAGAGGTGGGTCCTGGTGGGCAGGGGGAGGCGAGACTGCCCAGGAAGTGTCTGCACCATCTTCAGAGGAGCCCCAGGGAAGGGGTTCCCTGAGGGGCTGTCCTTCCCTCCTCCCTCCCCGCAGGGAGAATGAGAGCACCAGTACGTAGCACCAAGTTCCCCTGGAGATGGAGTGTGTGGAGGGAGAGCTCCTGGGTGGGAAGGGGGTGGGGGCAGGGGCCAAGGCCACCCACCCCTTGCCTCTGAAGGAGGGGGCTTCCAGGAGCTCACTTGGCCACCACTCTCTTGTTTGCTTGCCCTGTGGATTTCCAAGGCCACCCTGCCTGCCCTGTTCCCTCCTGGGGTGGGAACTTAGGAGGGGGCATGGGATGGGGGGGGTCACGAAGGGTTTACATTCTCCACCAAGCAGTAGCACCAACGTTGATGAGGTCGTGAGTCAGGGGTCCCGGGAAGCTCACTTTCTCTTCCGGCCACAGGGTTTCCCCAGGCAGGCCCCAGCTGGGTGCGGGGAGGCACACGCAAGGGTCAGTCTTGGTTGCTTCTCAAGCCCTTGCCCACTCCCCCCAACTCCAAGCTGTTCTTAACACCCACATCATCACAGCGGGGAACAGAGGCTCCAAGAAGCCACGGGAAGCCTGGACACGACCCCAGGCCACTCTCTGAGCTCTTCGGCTGTACAAACTCCCACTGAGCAGGTGGGTGGTAGCAGGACTCCTGCCCTCTCGGGCGGAGGGTCTGATTGGTTAACCTTATTTCAAATCATCAAGGCACAGAAGTCTGGTAGTAGGGCCTGGGGTAGCGCCTACCCCTGGGGGAGCTAGATGTGGCTCATTACTGCCACCTGGTGGCAGTGAGCACCATCTTTCTCTCTCTCTGTGAAGCTCATCCAGGGTGTTTGTTGGGAAAGAAAGCCAACAAAAAGAGCTTGTGTGACAGGGCCACAGGCACCAGCTGGTGCCTGACTGAGAGCTGGGCGCCGTGGACGAGGTCAGGCTGCTCTTGCCTCTGCCTCTCCCTGCCCTGGCCTGGGCTGTCTCATCTGCTCAGTGGGAAGCAGGTTGGGGGCGTGGAAAGGGGATCCGCAGCCTGAGCTGGGTACAGGTGCAGAGCTCGGGCTTCTCTGGGTCTCTTTTGGGCATCATTGGGAAATGCCTGGGGGGTGGTGATCAGACCCCACCCCACACACTGCCAGAGACACATCTGCATCTTGGAGCAAGGGTGTGGCTCTGGGCCGCCTCTGCCCACCCTGCCGGGTCCACCCCTCTGATCCCCTGACTCCGGGGCTCGCTTTTTTGTCGCCTCCATCCTCTCTCTCCTTCTCTGCCCCCCCTCCCAGCCCCTCGCTCCTCCCGCAGGGGCGGGTGTGGGTACCAGGGAGGGAGGGGCGGCCAGGCCTGGCCTGGATGAACCTGGAGGGTCCTGGGCCCACTCTTAGCTCTGCGTGTCTGTGTCGCAGGTAGAAGAAGGGGTGGGTAAGGTGTCCAGCTCTGCCCCAGCCTCCCCACTCCCTGCCAGGCCTCGTCTGACGTGCTGCCCTCTCTCCCAGGCTGATGGACCCCATCACTCTGCCTCTGCCCAACACCCACCCCCTCACCCCCCGCCCACTTCCAGGGGCTGAGTCTCTACTCACCTTGGTATCCCAGGGCTCCCAGGGCCCCTCCGTAGGGCTTGGGAGGTTTGCCTGTGGAGGGAAGGCCGGGATTGGGGAGGAGGCCAGGCCTTCTCTCCTCTCCCAGACAACCCCTCCCCGGCCCCTCCACACGCCTCCATCTTGTAGCAGCGGGTTCCAAAGGCCTCTCTGACCCCGGCCCGACCCTCCTGTCCAACCTCGCCCCTTGCAGATGGCCTGCTGCCTATGGAGGACTGAGCAGCTCTGCGGCACCTTCTCCCACCACAGTCAGACCCTGGCCACGCTTCCCGGGGGCAGCCTTACGCCCACTGACAGGCTCCAGCTCAGTCTCCCTGACCACCTGCTTGAACATGGCTTGTGCTTCCCTACAGTTTCTTTCCTTTTCTATGGGACCTTGTCAACCTCTCTGGTTAGACCCTGAGACCTGGGCTGACCCAGGTCCCTGTCTCACTCCTGGTGCCCAGTCGAGTGCCTGGCTGGGAGCCCCAGGAATCGGGGTCCCCATATCCCCACGTCCCAGGCCTGACTTCAGCTTCTGTGATTCCTCGTGGGGCTCCCTCGGGTCCCCATGCCCAGGGCCAGCCCAGGGCCGTGGCTGCACTAGCCGCTCCCTCAGCAGGATCTCAGGGCCCTGCTTGAAATGGGGCCCCTCGTTCTTATGATAGACTCACCGCCAACTCCCAGGCCCCCGGCTCCGCCACCTACAAGGCAAGGAGAGGGGTCGTGAGTGTGCCCACCTCTGGGGTGCCCGCCAAGCCCTGCCGGGCAGCCTGGGCCTCGTCTGAGGGGGGCCAAGTTCTGGGCTTGGCTGTTGGAAGCCCTTGGCTCTGCCTCTACCAGTGACTGTGTGACCCTGAGCGTGTCCCTGGCACTCTCTGAACCTCAGTTTGCCTCATATGGACGTGGTGTGTTGGAAGAGCTGATGCTCCCTGGCCTGGCACAGGAGGGAGAGGAGAAGGGGAAACCCAACTCTGTGCAATCTGAGGGCGCGGGGTACCCTTCGGGTCCTGGCTCAGCCCTTCTGAGCAGGAGATGAACCAGGGAAGGAGGAAGGATGGGGCCCAGGGCGGGGGAGCCTGGTCATACCTGGGAAAATAGGAGACAGTCCGAAGCCAGGCCTTGCTGCGACACCTGCAGGAGGGGTTTGGGGTTGGTGGGGGGCAGGGCCCACCCCAGCCTTGCCACCTATTGCCTCTCCGACTAGAACCACCTCCTCCCACTGCCCCCTACCCGCTGCTGCGGCAGCTTTCTTAACACAGCTGGTCCCCTGCTGGCATCCGGGGGTGCAGCTCCGTGGCCTCAGCTCGCCGGCCCGGTGTCTGAGTCACACGTGTCCACCTGACCCTGAGGCCTGCCCCTCTGCCCAGGATGCCTCCTTTCCTGGACTGTCCCCTCCTCCCTCTCTCTGTGTCCCTGTGCCAGATGCAGCTTCAGGGACCCAGCTGCTAGGCAGCCAGGCCTCCTCCAGGGCCGGCCAGAGCTGAGGATTTCACAGCAGAGGTGGTCCCTACCTCCAGCTGGGAATGGCCTGGCGGCGCCTAGGAAACCTCCAAGGCCAGCGGCACCTGAGAGGAGGGCAGATGTGGGTGAGGACGAGCCACAGTTTAAGGGACACTGAGCATCCCCTCTGGGGTCGGGGGTCAGGGATCTCCCGGATGGGCCTTCAGGGGTATTGTGAGCAGGACGGAGGCCTGCGCCGGGGCGGGGACAGGGCAGTGGGAGCGGGGTCTAAGCAGCCTGCAGGCCTGGGCAGGGGGCGGGGACAAGGCAGTGGGGGTGGGGTCTAAGCAGCCTGCAGACCTGGGCAGGGGGCGGGGACAGGGCAGTGGGGGCGGGGTCTAAGCAACCTGCAGGCCTGGGCAGGGGGCGGGGACAGGGCAGTGGGGGCGGGGTCTAAGCAGCCTGCCGGCCTGGGCAGGGGGCGGCATCGGGAGCAACTCACCAAATTTGGCTGCTTTAGCAGCTGCAGCTGGGGGCACACCTGGGGAGATGGCGCGCGTGAGGGCCCAGGAATATCTCCTCCCTCCCCAAGTCATGTCCCCCTTCTGACCTGCTCACCGATCTGCCATCAGCCTACTGACTCATCCTTCCACCATCCCTCCACCCCACCTTCATCCGTCCATCTTCCCAGACGTCTTTATTAAGCTCCTACTGTGTGGCCAGTCTTGTGGCGTACACGGGGTAAGAGACTTCAGGCCAGGTCAGGTAGGGAGACACAATGATGACCCAAGAGAGAGAGAAATGTTAACATAAGGTCCACCATGATGGCAGAGACTTTGGGAAAGTAATTTCCCTCCAAGCTTTGCTTTTTCTTCTCTGGAAAATGGGCATAATCATCACTATCCTAATGAATTCCCCCTTGAGGTGGTTGGGTGAATTGAAAGAGAGGGAGAGTACTGGGACATCCAACTGCAAGGGGCAGCCCTCGCTAAGCCTGCTCAGGCCCCTGTAAATGCTGCAGGAGCCCAGAGAAGGGGGCGGCCATGCACTCACCGATTCCAGAGTACCCCTTACCTCCAAGACCCACGGCCCCTGGGACAACTCCAAGCCCTCCAACTCCAAGTCCTCCAACTCCGAGCCCACCGACTCCCCCCAACCCTGAGGAGAGAGCTGTGCATTAATCCCCGCAAGTGAGAGCAGCTGGTCTGTCTGCGGTGGGGTGTGGGAGGAGGTGGGGGCTGTGGGGAGATCATCCCAGGACCCAGGTGGAGCCTGAGCCCCCAGGGCCTTGGAGGGTTAGTGGGGCCAGGAGGTGGGCCGGGGCCCTGGGAGACGATGCCCCTGAGGGCCTCAGGGACAGGTCAGGGAATGTGCGCTCCATGGTGCGTGGTCAGAACCCCTCCCCTCCCGTCAAATCCTAGCAGCCTGGCGGCAGCCCCGCCTCCTGTACTCACCAAATTGGGCGGCTTTGGCAGCAGCTTTGGCGGCTGCAGCCGCAGCCGCAGCATCAAGTCCGGCTCCTGGGGACACAGAGGGGGCTCAGGGAGGGACTCTCCATGGGTCAGTCTCCCTCCATGCCCAGCCTGTCCTGGGGTTTCAACTCACCTGCCACACCACCTGGGACACCGGCTCCACCAAGATCTCCAAGCTCTCCAAGGGCCCCGACCCCTGCTCCTGTGCAGAGAGGACAAAAGGTCAATCCTCCCCTTTCTGAAGGACGGGGTCTCCCGGCCCCAGGGCTACTAGGCAAGTAGACAGGTGGCTGAGGCCACATGACCTAGTGGAAGGAGTATTGGACAGAAATCCATAACCAGACACCCAGGTCTGAGGTCCGGTTCTGCCCTGACGCATCGGGCAAGGGCACACCCCTTGAGCCTCAGCCTGCCTGTCTCCTCTCCTTCCTCCCGGGCTGGTGCTGGGACCTGCAGGTGGTCACAGTGGTGGCTGTGGCCACAGGCTGCCAAGGGTGGAAGACTAGTCTCAGGTCCTGACAGCCCTGGGTTTGAATCTGTTTTCTCCACTCATCATAGCTGTCACCTCTCTGAGCCGCAGAGTTGCATCTCTATAAAGGAGATGATGATCCTTACTCCTGCTCACCTGTAGGTGTTTGGATAGTGAAAGGACCTCTGAGTGTGAACCACTGTCCAGTACAGAGCTGCCAGCAGCAGCAGCAGCAGGAGTTATAGCTAGCGCTTTAGGGGGACACTCGTGGTCCGTGTGTCACACATATCAGACTGCTCCGGGCAGCGGGAAACGTAGGCACTATTAGCCCCATTTTGCAGATGAGAAAACTGAGGCACAGCAGTGGTTAAGCAATGTGTTCACGGTTTCATGGGCAGGAAATGACTTCGGAGCCAGAGGCCTTAACTGCTCTGTTTCCCTGGCAATGGCTGATGAACTCAGGCCGGCAGAGCCGCCAGCGAGGAACAGGAGAGGGGCCTGTGGGTCATCAGGCCCGCCGTGGGCGGGGTCTGAGGAAGCTGGGATTTTCCGAGGTGGAAACTAGCCCCACGTGGACCAGCCAGGCCTGGTTGGCAGTTCCCTGGCGGAGGCCCCAGCCCAGATCCCAGGAGGCCGGGAATGCAGGGGGACATAGACAGTGTGGATCTGGCCAGGCGGGGCTGCCCGAATGCCAAATGTGGGGGGAGGGCAGGTCTGCCACGTCCTCGTGGCTCGTGGCGGGCGCGGTCATGCTGACAGGGAGGCAGGGGCCCAGATGAGGAGTCCTGGCTTTGCTGGGACAGCAGCCCTGGCCCCTCCCTGGCCTTGGGCCCCATGAAATGGTCAGGGCCTGAGGGGTCTTAGCGACCATGGTCCTCACCAAAGTGAAACTGCCCCCAGGGGGGCTGGAACTGTGAAGGGCGGTTTGGGTTGTCCTAGGGCTGGAGGCACGCTAGGCATTTAGTGGGCAGGAGCCAGAGTCTGCTGAACCATCATTGATACTTCCTAGAAACTGCCTTTTTCCATCCTGACCATCCCAGCCCTGCGCTGTAGGCTCCAGGCATTGGGCCCTGGCACAGGGAGAGGGGAGCTGGGTGACCAGGTGCTGTCAGGGATGGTGTGTGGGGTGCACTCACCAAACTTGGCAGCTTTAGCTGCGGGCAGGGCTCCGGGTACTGCGGAAAAGGGCAAAAGGAAAAGTGGGGTGGTCAGCAGCTGAGCTCTGTGCCTGGGGATTCTGCTTCCTCCAGGGAGCCCTCCTTGACTTCCTCAGCCTTCTTTGCTTCTCTCAAAGCCCTGAAGCTGTGGCTCTGCAGCCAGGAGCTCACCCAGCCAAGTACAGAGCTTCAGTGTCTAACTGTGCCTCTACCAGTCTGGTCTGTGGGTGCTTGAGGGCTGAACTGTGCCTCCTCCTTCCATCTGTCCCCTCCCGTCTCCTCTAGGCCCGGCATGGTCTGCCTGAGGCTGGACATAGAGCAGGCTCAGTAACTAGCAGATGAAGAGTTAGAGTTCCTAGTGGCCCTCTTGCCACAGCACACTGCCGAAGGGGAGCCAGGCTAGCCCACACACACCACTGGCCCCAGGGCCCTCCAGCCTCCTTCCTTGGGTGGTGGGCTTCTTCTCAGTTTGGAGCCCTGGCACCCGTCCACTGAGGAGACAGAAACTCTGATATCTGGCAGCAGAGGACCTTTTGCCTGGCCTGCCTGCGTCTGTTACCCCAGTTGTCTCTAACTGCTCCGGAGAACATAACGGGGAATTTATTGCACATCTCTGAGTGGAGGGGACATGCTGGGAGGAGAGGTCTCCCTCCTCTGAGGTCAGGGGTCTTTCTGTTCAGCCCCTAGAAGGCCCCTCACCTGCACCTGCCCCAAATCCAGGAACACCAACACCAACTCCAAGTCCAGGAACTCCAACACCGGCTCCAAATCCGGGAACACCGGCAGGAAGCCCAGCGGCAGCCCCTGGGGGAGATGGGGAGTGGGGTGACGGCAGCAGGCAGGGAACAGGCCCTTTTGGGGGTGTCCGGCTCAGGGAGCTGAGTCAGACCCCAAGGAAGGGGCCCAGACCCCCTTAATCTGCCCTCTACGCTGCCACAAGAATGGTCTTCCTAAAACTCTCACTGACCACCAAGTCCAGCCCTTCCCCAGGCTGGCATTCAGGGATACACACTCTGGACACCACTGCCCTTTTCAGCCTAACCTCCGGTTCCTCCCTTTTGGATGAACTCATTTGATTCTCCTAACAAGCCTCTGTGACAGGTGCCATCGGTACCCACACGGGAGGGCAGGAAACTCAGAGGCCACTCAGCCAGTGTGTGGCTCACAACTCGAACCCAGGTCTCCCTCAGGCCACATCTGCACTTCCAATCCCTCTGTCTGCTGCCTCGGGAGCCTCACGAGGCCGCAGGGCAGGCCTGAGCTATGGCATGTCCCGGGGTCCAGTTTAGGCTCGGATCACGCCGGGCCAGGCCTGGGCCTGTGGGGTGAGGGGAGAAGCAGGCGGGGCACTCACGGAACTGGGCTTTGGCGGCCGCCTTAGCCGCGGCTTTGGCTGCAGCTGGGGCCCCTGCTCCTGGGAGGAGAGAGAGGGGGTTCGAGGACGGCACCCATGGAGCACTCAGAGGCCCCTCAGGCCCGCTTGCTCACACTGCTTACCTATGACACCACCGGGGCCAATGCCAACACCGGGACCCACGCCGACTCCGGGAACCAGACCGACACCGGGACCCACGCCGACACCCGGGACTACCCCTGCAAGACAGAGAAGAGCTCATCCTTAACCAAGTACTGATCAAGGAGGGCAGAAGCTAATGGAAAGAGCAGCGGGCTGGAGGTCAGGAGCCCTGGGTTCTTAGCTGGGTGCGGACTTGCTGTGTGACCTTGGACAAGTTACTTTCCCTTGATGGGCCTCAGCTTCTTCATCCCTAATATGAGGTCTGGGCAGGATCAGGAGTTCTTAAACTTTGGAGTTACAAGGGCCCCTTTGAGACTCCTGAGGGTGATGGAGGCAGACTTATGTAGTAAAGGGAGCTCTGCAAGACAGGCAGGACTGGCTTCCAAACTCAGCTCGGCCACCATTTAGCTGTGCGACTATGGGCAAGTCTCTTAGGCTCTTGGAGCCTCAGTTTCCACAGCTGTGAAATGGGCATAAGAGTACCAATTTCATAAGGCTGGTGTAATGATTACCTCAGCAAATGATAGTTTTACAAAAAAGAGTTGTTTGTCATATGTGAGTTTGGGGGTCAGCAGACCTGAAGTTAAGGTTTCTCTGGCTCTAAAGTGAGCTGTTTTGCTATGCCATATTCAGGAAGGCATGGGAACCTGGGGCTGCCAGGGTGGCCCTCAGATGAAGCAGGACATGGAGAACCTTGTCAGGGAGCAAGAACATGGCTGTCCCTTGGGGTGGGTGGGAGCCCAGAGGAGCCCAGCATTTGTTGCAGAAGCAGGGCAAGGCCCCAGCTGGACTGGGAGGCAGCAGTGGCTTTGGGAAGGGTAGGGGGTGTGTGCTGGAGGGCTCGCCAACACCTGTTCTCACTTTGCCTTCCTAATCAGAAACTTCATCCACACCCCTCAAAGTGGGCGGATGGGCCAAAAGCTGTGAGGAAGGCCCACGCCCAGAACATGACAGCCTGAGGAGGGGGGTCTGCCAAACCCCAAAGCGGGGACACAAGAGAGCAGTGCTCTAGGCTGAGGGCTGAAGGCAGGACCGGCGGAGGCTCACTTACCGAACGGGGCTGCTTTAGCGGCTGCTTTGGCGGCTGCCGCTGCCTGGATCCCTGCCCCTGGAGATGTGAAGAGTGAGGAGTGGTCCCCAGCATCCCTTCCCCCTCTTACCCACCCTCCACCGTGGAAAGGCTTCTCAGAGACCACCTCTAGGGAACTGTCCCCTCACCCAGGAAACCCAGCGTGAGGCAGGCCCGCTCTCAGATGGCCCACCGGCCGCCCTGGACACGCCCCTTCCCTGAGAAGCAGCTCTGAGGCTGTGGCCTTCTAGCTCTGTCCGTGGTGGAGGGCAGCCCGAAGCTGTCTCTCCCAAACCTCAGTCTAAAAGATTTCTGGAGCTTTCTGTTGAAGGTGATGTTAGTTTTTAAAAATCCTAATCACGCCTGTATCCAAAACTACTAGAGGAGGCGCCACATTTCTTGGGGGGAAACTCAAAAGGGGAATTTCCTCCCAGAAAGAAGAGGAAGCGCAGAAGAGAAATCTTCTGGTGGGAAAAAAACAATCAAGGAAGGCTGTAAATTAATCTCATTGTAATTCTTAATCTCTTCCCCTTGGAGAAAGAGCGCTGGGGAAACAAAGGCTGACACAGGCCCTCCCACCTGATCAGAAACCAGAAAGGCCCCCCAACCCTGGTAAAGCAGAGTTCCACTGCCTATTGGGCTGACATCCTGAGCGTCCCCGGGGCAGGTAGGGGAATTGCCGGGTTCACTCAGCAATCTGGAATCCCATGGGGGCTCTTCCCTCCAAACTAAGGGAAATTGCTTTGTCTCTACCCTTGTCTCTGGGCTCGGTCTTGTCATCTGTAAAATGGTACACTGGACATAGGCCACCTCCAGGGTCCCTTCCATGAGATAAGCCAAACCCATGTCTGGGTTGGGGACACAGCTCACCTGGTACCCCTTCAGCGCCTGGCACACCTGGTATTTTTCCGGCACCGGGCACCAGCCCTCCCAGGGCTCCTGCTCCTGCAGCACCTGGAGGGGTGAAGAGCATCCAGCTCTGCCCTTGAAGTCCCCCCTTCTTGGGGGAGCAGAGGGTGGAGGTAGGGGTTGCGTAACGGCACCGTGGCTGTGTATGGACGGGCACCTTTAACGCGCTGGTCTGGGGGTGATAAGCCAGGTACCAATGATCCTAATGGTGCGCAATTGAAAAGCGCAGAAAACTTCACTGTGGCCTTGGAGGATGGGCCCAGGGGCTTCCGACCTTGACCCAGGCCATTTCAGCCCTGGAGGCCCTAGTGTGACGTTGCTCTGCCCTCGTGTTGGAGAATTGCTCTGAGCTTTGAGCCTGGGCCCTGCAGGAGAGCAGGGCTGCGGTGGGGAGGAGGGAGGGCATGGCCCTGGGCGTGAGGACAGGCAGGGCTGGGGCACTTACCGATCTTGGCTGCCTTGGCGGCCGCTGCCTGGGCTGCAGCTAAGAGGAGCCGAGAAAGAAAGAGACTCAGAAACCTTGCTGGCTCTCAGCCAGACTGTGCTGACAGCACTCCTGCCCCCAAGGCACTGGAGACCCTCCCTGCGCTCTCCCCCAACTCGTCCCTGAGCTCGGTGGCGGTGGCGAAGCCCAGTCTACCCTCCCCCACCCCATCCCCCAAGCCCCTGCCCCATCCCTGTTTCCCCTGCATGGAACTAAGGCTCACGGGAAATGCCAGCCCCAGGAACACCTCCAACTCCGACACCGAAGCCAGGAAAGCCCCCAGCACCAACGCCGTAAGTGGGAATACCTCCAACTCCCACTCCGCCTCTGGCCCCTGCAGAGAGAAGAGATGCAAGTGGAAAATGATCTCAATGAGAGAGGCTGGGAAGGGCTCTGAGGGACACGCTGGACTGGAGAAGAGGATGCGAGCTTCCCCCAAGTCTGGTCCATGAAGGACAGGAAACCATGGGATACCTGGGTCCCCCACCAACTTCCTCCCTACTGACACCCCACAGTGTGTCTCCAGCCCCTCTCTTCTCTGAGCGCTTGGGGAAGGGCCTCTTTGTTGAAGACGGAAAGACTGCGCACAGGTCCCCTATCCCCAGCCAGGCTTGGGCTCCTCTGAGAGGGTCCTGGCCAAAGCAGGGAGGGTCAGGGACACTGTCTCCACTGGGAATGCCGTACTGGGACTCTCCTATCACCCAGTCCCTTGGCCTCATGGTGGGAGACAAGTGGGGGAGACATGGTCCTGGGGCCCAACAGGGCCAAGTCCCAGCTCTGCCAGTGACTTGCTGTGTGACCCTGGGCAAGTCACTCCCCTTCTCTGGGCTGTACAACGGGGACTAGAAGAGGACGGTCCTTTAGTTCTGGCAAGTAAAGGCCAGAATAGGGTGGGGCGGAGCTGTCAGCACAGGACTCACCGAATTTGGCCGCTTTGGCTGCTGCTTTAGCAGCTGCAGCTGGTGACACAGCCCCTGGAGAGATCAAGGGAAACACAAATGCTCAGGAGAGAATGGAGCAGAGATGCGCTATATATATCCCTCTGTCCACCCATCTGTCTTTCAGTCCATCTTCTTTCTATCTGTTGAGCCAACACAGAGTTGTCCATCCGTTTACCCATACATATCTCCATCAAGCCATCTGTCCCTCTGTCTAACCAGCCACCCATTCTTCTATCTGCTGACCTTCCCGTATGGCTGCCCATTTGTCTATCTTTGGACCTCAATCTACCCACTCAACCACTTATCTCTCTGTCCACCCACACATGCATTTATCCATCCATCTGTCTATCTATCCACTCATCTAAATATCTAACCAACCAACCATTTTGATTTTCTTTTTTTCGTGGCACCCCGCGGCACGTGGGATCTTCGTTCCCCGACCAGGGATCAAACCCTCACCCCCTGCATTGGGAGCGTACAGTCTTAACCACTGGACTGCCAGGGAAGTTCCCCATCCATTTTGTGTTTGCCTTCTACCCACCCGTTCATCTGCTCATTTACCCATGTGCTTATCCATCCATCCATCCATCCATCCATCCATCCTTCTAACAACTTATCTTGTCCCCCACCTGCCTATTCATCTCTCTTTCCATTTACCCATTTATCTCACCATCCACCATTTTACCTATATCTATTTATCCATCCATGTAACCACCCATCCTTGTATCTGTCCCTTCATCCACCCACCACCCACTCTCTCATCCATCAATTTGCCTACTCATCCACATGGCCATTCACCTACCTCTCTAGCTGTCCCTCTGCCCATCCACGCCCCCATCCATCTATCCACCCATCTACCTACCCACCCATCTATCCACCATTTACTGAGCACATATTCAGCTAAGGGCTGGGAACACAGAGATGAAAAAGACATGGTTCCTGCCCCCAGGAGCACACTGACAGCCAAAAGGTGAATTCGAGATGATGCTGGCCGTAGTTAATTAGGAGGTGGTTATATCCCAAGGGAGACAAGATGACCAACGGTGTGGAGAGAAGAGGATAGAGTGGGGAGGTGTCAGGGAGAATACAAAAGTCTTGGCAATAATTTCAACATCTCTCTCTTACACACACACACACACACACACACACACACACACACACACACAGAGCCAAGCTCACCTGGTCTACCCATGATGCCCGGGCCCCCAATACCTGGGACTCCAACACCTGGGACCCCAACACCTGGGACTCCAACACCTGGGACTCCAACACCAGGGACTCCAACACCTGGGACTCCAACACCAGGGACTCCAACACCTGGGACCCCAACACCTGGGACTCCAACTCCTGGGATGCCGACTGCTCCTGGGACAAAGCCTGGCGCACCAGGCACTAAGCCTCCAGCAGCTCCTGTGGCAGGAAAGGATTGTTCCCCTGGCCTGGACCCTGTGGGAACCTCAGAGGGCCTCCAGGGGCACGACTCTGGGGAACTACGGGAGTGGCAGGTCCTGAGTGCAGGATCCCAGGTGAGCGGGCATTGCATCTGCATGGATCCAAGTCATCCGAGAGAAGGGGAGGGAAGTGAGGGAACCCCGACAGAGCTCTAAGGGTTTGGATCTATGCTTGGGAAGAGCGCGATCTAGCTCTAAAGCAGAGTCAGAACGCTCCACTGGGCACCCAGGCAGTTGGCGCAGCAGCTCTGGCTGGCCCTGGGGGTAAAGTGGGAGGAGACAGATGCTCCACAGGGTCCCCACCCTCTGCTGAGTCAGTAAGTGGAGAGCACTGGAGAGAGTCTCCCAGGCAGAGTGGCCAGAATGGGCAGAAGCAAGGAGGCATGACGGTGATGCCTGGCGAGGGCCGGTGCCCCAGATGGACAAAGGCCAAGTCCAACCAGCCTTATAGGACGAGGGTCTCCATGGCCCGTGCAGAGGCCAGGGCTGGCCGGAGCCCTGGTCCTGCCCCCCGGGGGGACACTCACCATATTTGGCTGCCTTAGCGGCAGCTGCAGCCGCAGCATCTGGAGCCCCGACCCCTGGAGAAAGAGCCACAGAAGGTGAGGCCCTTCCCCTACAGCGTTCTCAAGGACACCCTCCACCCCCTGCTGGAATGGACACGACCTGCGATGCCTCCGATGCCAGGAATCACGCCGGGCCCGCCAGGAATGCCAGCACCTGGGAGAACTCCGGCTCCTCCGGCACCTGTTAGGAGGGAGATAGTGCAAATGTGGCTCCCAGGGGCCCCTCCCGAAGCCAGGCAGGAGGCTACTTGGATGCTGGTGTTTTTCACAGCACAATCTCCTCTGGGAATGAGGCCCAGGCGTCTCCAGCTGGGCCGGCTTGGGAAGGCCCCCACCCCACTGTTCCTTGACTCACCCCCAAAGTGTCCATTTCAACACCCTCATTAAGGGACTTGTATGTTTTCAGACAAATCCCATTCTAATCACTGCCACATACTGAGAAACCACAAGCGGCCGCTCCCCGGGCCAGGGGGGCCCCTGCAAGAATGTTCAAGACTTCCTCTCCCTGTGTTCCGAAGACGCGGCCAAGTTTGAAATCCAAGCGCCTGGCTGCCTAGCTCTGGCAGCCCCTTGCCGTCCCACTCTCCTGCTCCCACATTCCAGCCACCCCCTCCAGCCTTGGGGGCTTGGAGGGAGGGCTTGTGGGGCCTCCGTGGGGCAGGCCTCCAGCTCGGTGCTACAGGCTACAGGAAGGGCTCCCCTGGGATTGGGGTAGAGGTGAAGACTTCACCACCCATGATCTGTCTCTGAACTGGGGAATCACCCGGGACAGGGGGACAGATGCCCACTTTGCTCCCCACGTGGGCATAGAGAAGGCCATGCCACATCTACTAACCAAGGGATCATGGGCTTGAGGAGCTAGTTAAAAGTTTTATAGTACATATTAAATTGATACTAAACTATTAAATTGTTTAAATGCTCATATAGGTACCACCTAAAATTATCATTCTAACCACACTTTTACCCATTCCCTCCTATTTTAACCACATGGCAAACTCCACCTATATTTTAAGGCCTGAATCAAATATTCTCTCTGAGAACGCTTCCTGATTATCCCCAGGTAGAAACAACGTCTCCCTCTTGACTCCCGCAGCAGTGCCAACATTCTCCAGCAGAGCTCTTATCTGTCCCTGGTCTCTGAAATGGATGGATGGAGGGAGGGAGGGACAGACGGAGGGAGGGATGGATGAATGGATAGACGGGTAGATGGATGGATGGAGAGATAAATAGGTGGATAGATGGATGGAAGGATGGATGGATGGAGGGAGGGATGGATTCATGGATGGATGGAGGGATGGGTGGATGGATGGAGAGATGGATGGAGGGATGGAGGAATGGAGGATTGGAGGGTGGAGTGAATGGATGGATGGAAAAAAGAATGAATGAATGGATGCATGGAAGAAGACAGGAATGGGTGGCGCTGCAAAAGTTGGATAAATAGGGGTGGAGTGGGGAGGGGCCACCTTAGTTAGTTATCTGTGAGGAAGGCTCTCCGTGGTAATAGGGATGGAGAGGCTGGGGGGCTGGCAGCTAGCAGGCAGGGACTGCAGGCGTACTCACCAAGCTTTGCTGCTGCTTTAGCTGCTGCTGCTGCTGCTGCTGCAGCCTGTGCGCCAACCCCTGGGGGAGAGGAAGGAGAGAGACTCTGGAAAATGTGCCCCTGCATCTCCAGAGCCCACCTATTCCAGCCCCAAGAAAACCAACTGGTTCGGGGCTTCCCTGGTGGCGCAGTGGTTAAGAATCCGCCTGCCAATGCAGGAGACATGGGTTCAAGCCCTGGTCCAGGAGGATCCCACATGCCGCAGAGCAGCTAAGCCCATGTACCACAGCTGCTGAGGCTACGTGCCACAACTACTGAAGCCCGCACACCTAGAACCTGTGCTCCACAACAAGAGAAGCCACCGCAATGAGAAGCCCTCGCACTGCAATGAAGAGTAGCCCCCGCTCGCCGCAATCAGAGAAAGCCGCGCACAGCAACAGAGACCCGACACAGCCAAAAATAAATAAATAAATAGATTTATAAAAAAAAAAAAAAGAAAACCAACTGGTTCCCATCTGGGTGTGGATGCGGGGTTTCATAGCATGCGGAGGTTGAGGATCCTTCTCCAGGCTCAGACCGGGGTCTGGATGTAGGGTGGGCTGGCCTGCTTTATGGAGGCTCGGTAATTAGTGCCCCCTTTTTGGGGTGAGGCTCTCCTTACCTGTCCCCGTCGGGTACCCGGCCTTGCCCGCGGCACCAGCTACTCCTCCAGGACCATAGCCTGCGAAACGAGAGGCTCTGGGCATCCACGTGGACCTCACTGTGGCTGCCCCCTCCCCTGCCCTTCAAGGGCCAGGCCACCCAGAGTCTCCACCTGTCTCCCACACAGCCAGAGTTAAATACAAATGCGTATGGAATGGTTATTCCCATTTTACAGACAAAGACACTGAGGCTCAGAGAAGAAACTGGTTCTCCCAAGACCTGGTGATAAGTGCGAGGGCAAGGATTGAGAGCGAGGCTCTCTGAGTCCAAGTTCCATGTCCCCTCCTTCGGGGACTCCCATTCCAAGACTCCACACACCCCCTCCCTCCAACTGGTGCTCTCTTAGCCCTGAGCTGGGGCCACAGCTCCCTTGCCAGAACCCTGCATCTGGAGAGAGGCAGAAGCCCGCCAGTCTAAGAGGGCCTTACCAAAGGGCAGTTTCCCAGTGCTGTAGGGCAGTCCGTAGCCACCTGAGGAGATGGAGTGTGGGATCAGGGGCTGCCCCATGGCGGCCCCATGCCTCACTGGGCCCCCACTACCTGGGTAGACAGACCTATTCCCACAGGTACTGAAGCCCAAGACTGCGCCGCCTCCACCAGGGCTGTGAGCTGCTCTCAGAGGCTCTCGGGAAAGCAGAGGCCTTGGTGGAGGAGGGAGAGGACACCCCTGCCCCAGGGCATGATGGGACACCCGTTCTTCTACCAACTCAGGCCCTGCCATGGCCCCAGAGTCTGCGTATCTTCCTTACTCTCCTCCCCATCAGGAAACAGCTCATCATGTGAGCTGATCGCTGGGGTGGAGGTGGGTTGGCATCAGAGGAGTCTTTCCAGTGAATGGTGTTTCTTACCATCAACACAAGCGGTTTCCCATCAGGGCTATGGGTCTCTGTGCATGTGTGTGCATGTGTGTGCATGGGAGTGAGACCAACGCAGGATGGCTTCCCCCTGCTTCCCTCTGCTGGCGACCAGAAATGGGCTTTAATACCAGGTTTCCTGGCTACCCTCGTCCACCCCAAGACACAGGTGGCCAAACAAGTCCCCTCTCAAGCTGGCTTCCCAGTAGGGAGGCCCAGCGAGTGGTGTCTCTCGAATCCTCCTTCTGCCTTACCTGGCAGCTTGGGTGCCTTGATGGGGTACCCCAGAGGGACTCCAGGCTGCGGACCTCCAAAGGGTCCAACTCCTGTGGGAACAAGGAGAGCAAAATGAGGTCCCAGTCACTCGAGCCAGCGGTCCCTGCGAAGCGCCCAGCCTCACGCTCCACCTTCTGCTCAGACAGAATGAGCTCCCGTGGCATCCGGAATCCGGAAACCATCCTAGTGCCTAGAGGGCCTTCCTGCCTCTTTCTCATCGGCCAGCAGAGCAGCCCCCAGTGATGGGCCACTTCCTTCTGGAAGCTGCCGGACACTCTCCCTCCTGGGGCTTGGGCCACACTCAGGGCCTGTAGCCCTTGTGGCATTTGGCACAGACTGCTGGGCTTTCTGGGCTCATCTGGGCTCCCAGACAGAGGGTTGGGACGGGGGAAGCAGGCCTGTGATTGATGTCACTTTGTGCTGAAGCCAGTCCGAGGCCTGGAGCAGTAGGTACGCCCAGCCCCTCCCAGGGGAGGATCTCCTGCCCACCCTCACTGGCATGGGGGACCCGGCCTTTCCTTACCTGGGATTCCAGCAAAAGCTCCGCCTCCACCTGCAGTGACAAGGAGCCCTCACTGCAGCCCTGCCACCACGGGCACAGGGCCTACGCACCAGTGGCAGTGCTGAGGGGCAGGCTGACCCGAGCCGTGGCCACTTCTGCCCAGACCTCCCAGCTCATGCTGCCTCGCACACACTCGGGGATTTCTGAGAGATGTGCCGCCCATCTCAGCCAGCTGAGCCCAGGGTCCCCGCCCCTCACCCCAGGACGGAGGGGACTGAGGGTGAATGGAGATTCCCACCATGGGTCCCCAGCCCAGCTGGCAACATACCTGGGGCCTTGGGCTTGACGCCTGCTCCAGTGGGAACCCCAGGGAGCACCCCTACACCCGGGAACCGAGCTCCTGAAGGGGCAAAGAGGGGGCTCGCAGTGGGCGTGGGAAGGCCGGCCTGGAAGGTCCAGCCCGGCACCATACCCGTCAGTGACACAGCTGGCCTCCTTCTGCACTGACTGTCAGCTACTGGCATGGCTCACAGGGTGCGGGGAGGGCCTCTTTGGTAGTGACTTTTCTTCCCCATCTGACCCAAGGTCGGAAGTTTTAATGCTATTTCCTAGCCATGTGCTTCTGTGTTTCTGTTGGCCTGTCTCTAAACTGGAGCTAATTTCCCGCCGCCCTGCTCACCCTCATCAGAGAAGGCAGACGGTAGAAGCCTGCCAGAAGTGGGGAGAGCCTGCAGGTCGGGGAGGCCTGTGACCTTGGGGGGCTCTCACTGGATGTGATTGACAAGCAAACACAAAGCAGTCATCTGCTCTGGCTGGGTGACACTCCATTTGCCAGTGTCCAGTGCTGTCACCTCTCCTGTCTCCCCTGGGGCTGGGCCACCGTGGCAGGGAGGGGCCGAGGGAGGGACACTCTGCCAGCCAATCCCGCAGAGCAGCCCGAGTCTGGGCTTTTGGGGGAATTCAAGAGGTCACGTGTTGGGTGGGGTGGCCGGGCCCTGGTGGGGAAAGGAGGTTGAGAGGGCAGCTCCGAGGGCCTCCTGCAGGGCGGATGCACTGGGTGGGGCCCCTGGTGACTTATGGCTTTTGGGAAACAGCTGGCCACACTGGGGACTTGGTCTGTCCTTGGGGGCCCACTGCAGGCTGTGATGACGTCTGGGTCTGGGCCTGGGCTCAGGGCGCCGGGGGGCCAGGGGAAGCTTGTGGATCCTCGTAGGGAAAAGACAACCAGAGATCTGACGCCTGTAGCCTGAGCTTTGATGCTTAGGGAGAAAATGCCGGTCAGGACCCAAGGTCTCTGGTGGCCTCGGCTTCGGGGGGGGGGGGGGGGGGCCCCGGGGGGGGGGCGGCGGGGGGGGGGGGGTGGGGGGCCACCGGGGAGGCTGCCAGGGTCTGCTCTCCTTGCTACAGGGTCCCCTTCTCCTGCTTGCTCTCACCTGCGCCTGGGAGCACTCCACCTGGGTATACACCTGGGAGCCCCACACCTGTGGCCAAAGAAGGAGAGTGAGTGGCAGCCTGGCCTCCAGGGGCCCCTCCAGGCCCTTCCCGCCGTGGCAGCTCTGGGGCTCCTGAGCCAGCCACCTGGGTGCCCGGCGGGAACGGCGAGGGACACATGCAGTGGCTGCAGCCCTCTTCCCGTAAGTTCCGGAAGTCATCTGCAAACCCTTCTGTGCGTGGATTTGTCCCATCTCCTGGAGCCTGTTTACATGGCCGGCCCAGCCCACCTCTGGGTTAACAGCTTCCAGATGTTCCCTCCCTGCTGTGTGGACTCAGGCAGCCTTTTGTTTAACCTGAAGTCACTTCCTCAAGGGCTTGGTGCAGAGGAACAAACACCGGATGGGGAGTCGGCCCACCTCGGGCTCCCCCTCCCCGCTCCGCAGTGACGGGCGGGCCCTTCTGCGCCAACTCCCTATCTTGAAGCTCAGCGTCCCCATCTGTCGCCTGAATGTGGGTGCCACAGAGTCTGTCTCTGAGGTCTGCTCCAAGGTCCTGGAAGAAGGGCCCGGGAGGTAGACCAGGGCCCCTTGCCCCTATCTGGGACACGACACCATGCTCTGGGTCTGGCTATGCCCCCTGCCCTGCTGCAGCCGGGCCCTGTCCTTCCTGCCCCGTGGGCCTTAGAAGCTCTCGCTCCTCCCTGACCTCTGCCCTCCACCCCCAGGGACTCCATCCACACTGACCTGGCACCTTCCCGGGCTTCGCTCCAACTCCTGCTCCGAGCTGAGGTACCACCGCACCTGGTAGGGAAGGGGCCACCACAGAGTGGGCTCCACCACCCCCCACCCCCACGGCCTTCGCCGGGGCCACCCAGGTCTCGCCTCCATACCTGCAGACACTCCTAAGCCGCCGACGCCACCAAGCCCCGCAGCACCTACAGAGCCAGGAGTGGGAGAGGAGAGAGGTCACACCAGGAACAGTCACAGGCGGGAGGGCCCGGGGCTGAGGTCTGGGCCTGCCACCACCTCTGAGACTCGGGCACAGCTGGCTGCCTCCCCGCACCCCCAGGAGATGGAGCTGAGGCTCCCGTCTGCTTGCCCTTCAGGAAAGGTTCTTTGCCAGGTGGAGAGCCTGCGGAGGCCAGAGGGCTTATGGCACGTCCCAAAGGGTGACACTCACCGGCCTTGGCAGCGGCTTTATAGGCTGCAGCAGCGCCAGCCGGGCCGCCGGGCACCAGAGCTCCTGGGAAGGCCCCTCCAGGAAAGGCCCCAAGCCCTGCAGAGAGGAGGACGGAGTGAGGTCCTGCCCGCAGCCCTTCCCCGGCCCGCGCTGCCCACGAGGTACATTTGAGGCTCTTCTGCTCCATGCAAAGCTGCGACTGCTGCTCCCGGGACGGGGTGCGGTGTCAGCGGGCACTTTGGGGCAGGCCTGACAAACCGCAGGCATCTTTCGGGGTCTACCTTCCACACCTCCCTCCTCCAGAAAGCCTTCCTGAAGCCCCGCCGAGGTGGGCGGCTCCTTTGGGCTCCTGGGGCTGCTCCCCTCCAGCTCTGGTTACTAGGTTATAACAGCACCCAGGCCCCAGCTGTGATTCCCTTGTGCCCTGGACAGCGGTCACAGCACCACCCCTTACACCAGTGCCCAGGACAGGCCCGGTCTGCATCCTCGTACCCCCAGCTGCCCTTCTTACTGGGCAGATGCTCTGGCCCCCAGAGGGGCACCTTGCCTGGTGTCCACACTAACCTGCCCCAAGGCCGGCGCCTACGAGCCCTCCTGCACCCGGGGAGAAGAAGACAGAGCCAGGTGAGGGGCTGGTGTGGGGCATCACTCCTGGGCCCAGGGTGGAAAGGGTCTCGTGGAGTAGGGGCGGGACCCTGGCAATGCTGTGGTCGGCGTGTGGCCGCTCAGGGCCCTAAGCTGGACTCAAACCTTTGGTGCTCAGGGGCTGATCTGATGAAGTAGCAGCCGCTGTTTAGCAACCAGCAGCTATGTGCCATGTGGACTGACTGTGCTGACTCCGTACAACACGCCCTGACCAGACCTCACTTCCCTTAGAAGGCCCGCCACCTAACGAGGGACCCAGAGGGGCTTTCTGTGAGGGCTGGGGCTGAGCATGAGCTGCCGGCAAGATCTCACCCAGGCCGGGCCCTGCTCTGCTCCCACGTTAGCTGCCCCACCCCGGGCCTCTCACTGGCTTCCTCGCAGGGGTCCCCTGCCTCAGGCCACGCCCTCTCCCCTGTATCTGGAGCCCCTTTTGTCCATCCGTCTAGCCTGCCCTGCAGTCCGGGAGCCTCCCTGCCTGCAGACAGATGCTAAAATGTTTATGAACAGCCGAATGGGTCTCTCTGGCTCTCTCCTTCCCACATCTGGGCTCAATCTCTCCTTTTCCCCCTCCAGGAGACATTCCACGGCTTTGGCCAGGACCGATGGGCAATCAGGTTGGAGTTCACAACCGTGCTGGGTTTGTTTCCAATTATGCTAGAATCTCTCCCACAAGCACCAGTCCCGGCCACCAGGGTTCCAAGCTCAGGGGCGGCCCCTCTGGGGACCGACCTCAAACATGCAGGGCTGCTGAGCCCTGGAGAGTCCACCTAGCTTCCACTGGGTGTGGTCCCCCGACCCCATTTCCTACTTCTGTGAGCTGGCCTGTCTGAAACCCAGCTAGCCCCTCTGTAAGATGGGCCTCTGACTCCGGCCAGTCTCCCTTCCGGGCAGGTGTGGTGTGGTCTAGCTGGGCGTGGGGTGTGTCTGGGTCCACTTCCCAGGGCTGCGGGCCCTGCCCCTCCCCAGCTCTGGCAGGGGTTTCTCTCCAGCCAGGCCTGTGTCCTGAGCTCCAACAGGGCAGCGGACACGCTCGGGCCTTTCCTTACCGCAGAGGGGCTGGGAGGAGAGGATGGGGACCGAACAGGAAGTGAGAAGAGGCTGGGTGCGTGGGGTGGGACATGCAGCCCCTGTGCGGCCATCTGCCCTCGTCCCATGCTCCCCCAGAGTTGTCTGGTCCCAGGGCCACCCTGTAGCATGACCAGCTACATGCCCTCCTTCCTGTGGACTCACGTGGCCCAAATGCCCCAAGGAGTCCAGCCCCTAGAATGGAGGAGAGAGGGCGAAGGAGAGAGGGGCTGAACTCCCTGGTTGCCCGGGGACCTGGCTTACCCAACCGTCTCTCTCCCCTGGAGTCGGAGAGCCCTGGATTCAAATCCCGCTGTCCCAAGCTACTCCTTGCATGAAAGAGCAAGTCACTTCACCTCTCTGAGACTCAAGTTTCCCCACTTACAAAACGGCCAGCATGTTCCCCACCTTCCTGGGACCAGAGGGCTCGTGGGCAGGGGGTGCAGAGCGTCTGCAGCCTGCCAGGGTGACCGGTGGGTGGCCCCTCTGCTCCCCCCTGTTCTCTCACGTGGGTGACTGGCCTCCAGCCGGTGCTGGGGGTGTAGGTGGGGCTGGCTCCCAGCTGCCTGGTCCCCCACTGAGAGCCCAGGCGGGGCCACCGGCCGAGGCCCAGGTGGAGCAGCTGCCAGGCCACCCACCCTCCACTCGCCAATGGATTAGTTGTTCCCAAGCATGACCTGCATTGTCTGTGCCCAGTTCCATCCCATCTGGGCAGGCCCAGGCGTCCCTGCTGCCCGGATGTGGGGAGCTGCCCTTTGTGTGTGTGTCGGGGGGGCACTGTGGCCCTGTCCAGGCCTTTGTAGCTCAGAGTCCTAAGGCTGAAAGATGACCTCAGGGAGGTCATGGAGTCCAGCCCCTTTTCATGAGCAGATGCTCTGACTTTCCTCTCGGTCTACGCCTTCACCCTGAGCCAGAAGTTCTTTTGGAAGTCTAAACTAAATCTTTCATCAATAAAAGCTTCACTTTATCAACTGCAACTGAATGCAGTTTTCACAGTCTTCTCTTCGGTGTTTCATCACAACCTGCCGTGTGTCCCCTGCTGCCAGTGGGATCAATGAATCCCTGTTCTAGCTCTGCAGTCACGACCGCTACCATTTGGGTCTTCACAGCTAAGCACGATCCTAATTCCACACCTTTGTTTATCTAGCCTTTCCCTGTTCTCTCTCTGCCGTCAAAGACCCTGCTAAGATCACCCACCCCTCCGAGAAGATAGGAAACAGGTTCAGGCGGGATAAGCAGTGAATCCCGAGGGCTCCAGCCTTGCAGACCCCAACAGACCCCAGCAAACCCCTTGCCCAGACCTCCTGCCCTCCTGCATCTCTCTCGGCTGGCCCCAGCCCTGTAGTTTCATAACGCAGATGGGCTTGCAGGGAAGGGGAAGCTGGGTCTTGTAGATTCACTTGCACTTGAATCATCGAATATCTGGATTTCGTAAGAGCTGTTGGACATGCAAACTGTCCTGCAGTCCCAGGCTTCAGAGCCAGGGAGACACAGATCAGGGTGGGGGGTGCCAGGGCTGCATGTGAAGCGTCTCATGCTCTTAGGGCCATAAATCCGGACAGAGACGCCCCTTCCCCCACCTGATCCTTATCCACCAGGGCCTCCTGGAGGAGGAAGCCGCCCTCCCTCTTTCCTGGGGGTGTGTTCTCTGGAGCTGATGGTGGACCCTAGTGGCAGATCCAAGCCCCACGGGCAAGGCCGGGATAGATCTGGCCACATCCTCATACTGGAAAACTCCTTGGTCTGGACACAGCTGGAAGGGGCCTGGGAAGGAAGCTCATCTGGGGCCAGGGTCAGGGTGAAGCCTCGGGTTAGGTTCAGGGTTTGGTCTGGGGTCAAGATTCAGCCTGGGGTCAGGATAAGGGCTCAGATTGTCATTAAGGACAGGGACATCTAGGATCTTGGCCTGGAGTAAGAGAGGGCTTGGTTTGTGGTCAGAGACCATTCAGGCAGAGTATGGGGCCCACCATCTGTGTCTGAGCCCACAGGCTTGGTGGCCACTGGAACATCAATTCCTACCTTTGACTCCAGCACCAGGGCTGTTTCTGGGACTCTGTGCACAGGGGACAGTCAGGGTAGCTAGGCACATAGGCACCTGCAGGGTAGGTGCCAGACACCCCTCGCACATGGAGGACAGCAAGCTGCCTCCAGCCTCCTGACCCTGGATGCCCCAGAGCTTGGCCCTAGCCAGGTCATAGGTGGGGTTGACTAGGGGGCAGAGGGGCTGTTGCTGCCCACCGCTTCCCTCCCTCCTCTGTCCATAGGCTGGGTTGACAGCTCTGCGGACCCTTCCCTCCCCTACCCCGTCGGCACTCACTCAGTGCTCTGAGGCCACCGGTCTTACCTGGCTTGGGTGGTTTGCCTCCAGGGCCCAGTGCTGCAGAGGGAAGAGATGGTGGTAAATGGGGAGTCCCAGCCCACCTGACCTACCACGATCCCCCAGGGTACTGCGGGGTCTCACTGTGAGGTGAGGAATGATCCTCCCCTCTGCACAGGGAGCTGCTGGGAGCCCAGTGTCCACATGCCTGGGTGGGAAGCCCAGCTCTGGCCCTGATTTGGGGTTACCCTCTCTCACACTGTTTCCCAGCCTCTGAAGGGGATGATGCTTCCCGCGCAGTTGGCTTTGCAGGGATATTACTGAGGATCAAAAGAAATATGAAAGAGGGACTTCCCTGGTGGCGCAGTGGTTAAGAATCTGCCTGCCAGTGCAGGGGACATGGGTTCGAGCCCTGGTCCGGGAAGATCCCACGTGCCGCAGAGCAACTAGCCTGTGCGCCACAACTACTGAGCCTGCGCTCTACAGCCCGCGAGCCACAACTACTGAGCCCGTGCACCTAGAGCCCGTGCTCCACAACAAGAGAAGCCACCGCGATGAGAAGCCCACGCACCTCAATGAAGAGTAGCCCCCGCCCGCAGCAACTAGAGAAAGCCCGCACACAGCAATGAAGACCCAACGCAGCCAAAAATAAATTAATTAATTTGAAAAAAAAAAGAAAGAAATATGAAAGAAGGCAGGGCCCTCAGGGAAAGAGGCCAGGGGGAGGGGCTTAGGGGACTCGTGAGTTCTAGTTCTTAGACAAATCCCTCCCCAGTGGATGCTCGGTCTGTGAAATGAGGGGTCCCTTAACGTCTGGGCCTTCTGAGGTTCTCAGATCTGAGCACGTATGTGGACTAGAGTGAGACCCAGACCCCATCGCTGAGGAACCAAGTTTGCTGTCTGAGCTCACCTCCTCCCAGGCCTCCGAGACCAGCGCCTGTGTTGAGGGGGGAGAGAGAGAGAGAGAGAGAAAGAGAGAGAGAGGACCATCAGGGTCCCTGCCAGGAAGCCATCCATTGACCCTGGTCAAATCCACCGCTGCCTAGCCATATGACCTCAGGCAAGCCTTGACCTCTGTGAGCCTCTGTTTCCTCATCCATCTCATCGGGGAAACAGCTGTGTGCCTGTGTGTACCTGGGGGTGTGCTGGTAGCTGCCCTCACTTCCACGTTGGTTCTGAACACTCAGACACGTTGTAAGTATTGAAAATATTAGGTTTGACGTTTCAATCTACTTTAAGACATTATGCTTTTTTCTAAATTAAAAGAAAAATTGTAAAGCAATTATAGTCCAATAAAGATGTTAAAAAAAGAAAATACGCCCCCCGCCACCCCCCACCATGCCACTGAGTTAATATTCTGCCCATTTTCTTTTTTTGGAGGGGGCCCAATCTCCATCCGCACCTAGTCCTTGCTTTTATATTGTTTTTACTTGAGAATCACTTTACCATGTTACCCGACAGACAGCATATTCATAATTTTTAGTAGTTGCATCATATAAGTTTATTTAATCACACCCTCCAGTCAGGTGGGTTTCTTGTTTGCATTTTTGCAAGGAACATTCCTACGAACCTTGGGGCAGATGGTTCTTTTTCTCTTCTTCTCAATTATTTCCTTTGAATGGGTTTCCAAGAGTGAGGTGAATGGTTCGAAGACTAAAACAGCAGGGATCGGTGAGGCGGTCACTTTCCGACAGTCTCACAAGCATTGCGTTTCATCTTTCAGAAACTTTGTGCTCTTAATAGTTGTAAAATAGCATCATGTAACTGCTTTTTAAAATAGGAGTAACTTATGGGTCCTCTGGGGTAGGTGTGCCAATGTTCTTCCCTTCTGCAGTGTCACAATGTGCATCTCTCACAAATGTAATCACCATCTGTCTTACCTGGGAGTGTGACAATTTTATGTACATTACCTGGGAAGAAGACGCCTCCAGGCACTGCACCAGGAACAGCCCCTGGGACCCCTGGAATGAAGTAGGTAGAGTCCCCCATTAGCCAGAACGAATAAAAGCATGCTAATGATAAAGATAATGATGATGATGATAATACTGCGTGTCTGCAAAGCAATTTAGGTTGACTAAGCAAATAATGTTTACAAAGCATTTTCTCATTCATGCTCCTCAAAATGGCCTGGGGAGGCTGGAAGGGCAGGGGCTATTATCTTCATGTTAACAGATGTGAAGTCAGGCTCAGAGAGGTTAAGGGATGTGCGGGGGTGGGGGGGTCACACAGGCGGAAAGAGATCGAGCCTGGATTCAAAGCCAGGCTACTCCTCTGAGCATAACGGTTTGCACTGCGTTACCTGGAGAGAGCCTGGCATGGGGCTGGGTCTGAGCACCTTTTGCTGGGCAGCCAAGCCTCTCTAGCCCTGAGCGGCACGGGAGGGGCCAGAGCTGTGTGAGGGCAGGCCGGACCGTGACAGTGAGCGGTAAGGAATTGTGGCTGCTGCCGACAAAAGTGCAGCCATTCCCACGCTGAGAGGACGGCGTGAGGTCCGCGTCCTCAGCCACCGGGCAGCAGTGGTTGGGTGGTGCTCTGGCCGTCTGACACAGAGCTGTCTAAGGAGGCGCCGGGGCCCAGAGGGGGACACCATGAATGAGCAAAGTGAATAGTTTCCGAAGGAAAAGCTAATTCACTGGCCAGTCCAGGGGCTGTCTGCCCAGCCCAGATCACGAGTTCAGTCCCCACGGACCAGTGAAGCTCTCACCGGGGAACGCTGTGATGCAGGGCTCCAGACCCAGCCTGCACGTAGTCATGGCAACAGACAATCCTGGAGCACACCAGGCCCCGACTGCACCGCCACAGAACGGCCCCAGCCTTGACAAGCCGCCTTGCCGGTGCCCCAGCCCGGGCCCCAGCACCACCCTGCCGAATGGGGCACGGACTGGGCTGGGGGACAGTGTCGGGCAGCTCCGCAGTGTGCCCAGCAGACGTCTGGCCTGCTGGCCCCGGGGCTCTGTCAGCCTAAACCATGACCCAGCAGGGTGGAGGATGCCAAGCTCTCATGGCCACCCCGTGCCAAAGCCCCGGCGCCACCCCCTTACCTCCCCCCCCCCGGGCCTGAGGCCCCCCAGGCACTGCAATCCAGGCCTGGAGTGTCTAAGCAGTCTGCTCAGAGCCTCAGAGGCTCAGGGCAGTGGCCCCAGGAGGCTGGGCATGCTGGGAATGAGCGCCTGGGTCCTGTCGTCGGCTGCCAAGTGCACACATGGTCCGCCCCAGGCCTTTGATGCCTTCTCTGGCTCTGGCCTCCGGCTCCGAGCTCTGTCTCTTATGTGCCTTTCCCTGTTGTGCTCCAGGCCTTTCTCTGCCTCAGCCTCTCTCCTCCTCCCCTTTCTCTCTCTCTAACCCTCTGCTCCAGGGCAGACTGCAGGAACGACATGGTGGGTGGAGGGAGCAAGGGGCTCAGGGTAGACCCATCTGGCCTCTAATCTTGGCTGTGCCACTTCTTACCATCTGTGTGACCTCAGGCAAGTCACTTAACCTCTCTGAACCTCAGTTTCCTTTGTAGCAACGTGGGGCTGATAACTGCTGCCTTGCCAGGTTGTTGCGAGTTGTCAAAGAGTTCAAGAAACCTGTCCTACCCTGGGCCTGGCACTCGGTAACGCTTAAAAAAAAAGGTGACACTTTGTTTCTACTTCACTGCACAGTACATGGCCTAAGGCCAGGTATACAGTAGGTGTTCAATAAAGGATGGGTGAGGGCTTCCCTGGTGGCGCAGTGGCTGGGAGTCCGCCTGCCGATGCAGGGGATGCGGGTTCGTGCCCTGGTCCGGGAGGATCCTGCATGCTGTGGAGCGGCTGGGCCCGTGAGCTGTGGCCGCTGGGCCTGCACGTCCGGGGCCTGTGCTCCGCAATGGGAGAGGCCGCGGAAGTGAGAGGCCCGCGTACCGCCAAAAAAAAAATTAAAAAAATAAAAAAATAAATAAAGGATGGGTGAGTTAGGTGGAGGGGAGGCAAGGAGGTTGCTTGTGGGTCTGGTCTGACCTGTTCCATCCCCAACCAGCCTAAGGGTCTCCCCACCTCGGGGTCCCCCCACCTCGGGCTGGCCTGGCTGAAGCCCCACTTCCTCTCCTGGGGTTCTGTTCCCTGACCAGTGGCCAGGCCCCTCCTGGGCCTGCCAGCTCCTTCTGCTTCTTCCGTCCCAAGCTCTTTCTTCTCCCTACTCTCCACCCCTATGATTCAGATCCCAACAGTGTTTGCCAAACTCCGTGCCTGAACCATGACGGCCTGGGGGGCCAGGGGTTCTGATCCCCATTTTGCACTGAGGAAATAGGGAAGGCTTAGTGGGTGTAAAGGATCTACGCCTGGCCTCTCTTCAAGCGCAGGAGAGGTGACAATAGAATAAGACAGGAGTTGATCAAAGGCCTTCGAAAGGCAGCAGCCTCCTCTCCTGCCCCATCATGGGAAGGGGCATCCTCCTTCCCACCTCCCCTCCTTGGCCTGAGAAGTTCCTCCTGCCAGGAATGCCCTCTCCTCTATCCAAGTCCTACCCTTCCACCAAGACTGGGCTCAGCTTCTCCCCCTGCCGTCTCTGAGCCTGTGGTTCTCACTGCTCATCTGGCCCAAAGCAGTTGGCCTGGAGCATACTTGTCTTGTTTTATGTGGGTTTGGCTTGTTTCACCGGCTAGCCCAGGGTGGAACTTGTCTCTTGCATCTTAGAATCATGATCCTATACTCTCAGGGATCGTAACTGTCTTCTGGCCTGGGCTGAAATTCCTTCTGCAAACATCCCATTGTGTTCCTGCTTGCACGCCTCCAGTGACAGGCAAATTCCCACCTCCCGATGCTGTCTGCTCTACCTGCGGAGAGATCTTCCTCCTACTGAGATAGAATCTGCCCCTCTGTCTCTCTAGGTCTGCCTCCCAGAGCCCCAAAGACCGAGGCCCACCTCTCATCCACAGAAGTTCCTCGAACATTGACCTTTTTTCAAGGTCTAACTCAAATGTCACTTCTTCCAGGAAGCCTTTCTGGATTTCCTGGGACTCCTCTAGGCCACCCCCTCTCCCAGTCTTGTCAGCTTCCTCCATTACTGCATCTCTGTTTACACACGGGCTGCCTCCCCACTGGACAAAACGTGGCATGAGTAGCAAGAGGGAAAACTAAACCTCATAAACGCGCATGAATTACAAGGGTTGATCAGTCCAAGATAGCAAATTCTGAATAAGAGAATATACAGCTTTTAAAATTTGCATTCCCACAGTCCTCTTACTTGATGCTTTATTTGTTTATTTTTTTTGCAATGTTCATTGCTGGAGCCTCCCACTGGCCCTAGGCAGTAAGTAGGGCAGGGATGTTTCTCCCCATTTTTCAGCCAGGGAAACCAAGAGTCAGAGAAATGAAGTGCTTGGCCCAGGAACCGCATCTGACCCCAATCACACGCAGGGCATTCTGCGTTCCAGATCCTTTGATCTAGGTTCAAAGATCTGGGAGATGGCTGTTTGGGAGCAAGCAGCAGGCCAGCAGGCCTTGGCAGGGGGCTTTGCCAGTTCCAAGTCCAGGGGGCCGGCCTGGGGCGCAGATAAGACCACACGAAGCTGTTTGTCGTTTGCACGGAGAAAGGCCGCCAAGCGTTTTTCAAAAACAATCCTCCAGTGACTGACTCTGTCCCCTCCCTCCCCCGGACACGTCTGCCCTCCTGCCTTGGCCCCAGCAAACTTGGAGCAGGATCACCCCCTAACCCCAAGGTCCAGGGTCCCAGAGGCGCCTCAGTCACCTGGGCAGCTTCTTACAAGACCTACAGGTCTGGGTCCCTCCCCAGACCAAATAAAGCAAGAATTCTTGGGTGAGACCCCACATCAGAATTGTTTCAAGTTCCCGGGAAACTCCAATTATGCAGCCAGGGCTGAAAATCCCTGTTGCAAACTGTCTTCAGTTCCGAAATAAGAAAACAAACAAACACCCAAAACCGAAATGACAAAATTTCTGGGGGTTTGGGGCAGCTGGTCCCGATTATAACTGATGTAATTTCTCTCTCTCTCATGGCAGCTGATCAAAGCTACTTTTGACCCATCTTAAATGGGTCTAAACAACTTTTACCATCACAGAGGTTCCCGGGATGCCCCTTCCTTGTCTCCCCTGGCAACACGGTTCTTTGGAACTGGGGAACGCATGAGGGGTGGGGGGAAGCTGGGTTCCCTCAGGACAGCCAGGCAGGTGTGTGCGCATATGTGTTTGGGTGGGGGGCCCCTCCCACGTCCCATCTCTCTAGACTTCCTTTGGGAGGCTCTGGGCACCAACCCCAGAAGACATCATCAGTTCACACACCCCTTCTTTGGACCCAGCTACTCTACCACCTGGGACAGAGCTGAGAGTTATGTTTGCAAAGGAAGAACAGGACCAACGGAGCATTTAGCCCGGTCATTGAGGATGCATTCTTCTTAGGGCAGGCCCACCCCAGAGTACTTGGCCCCCAGCCTGCCCCTCCCCAAATGCTGCTCAGAACCTGGACCTTGGCCACCTCATCTTTGGCCCAGGGCAGAGAGCTGGCTGGTACTAATCCCCCTGGGGCTGCCTTAGCCTGTCTGAGCCTCAGTCTCCCCATTAGAAAAGCGTCGATAAAAATCCTCTACTCCCAGGGCTCCAGTGGGGACTAACCATCATGCTCTAGGTGGGAGCTCTCTCTGGGAAGGCAGATGTTCGGGGACCAAACTCCAGGGAGGAGGATCAGACAGGACCAGCGCTGCTACTCTCGGGCACAGGGGCGGCTGCTCCTCTGGGATTGTCTCGCTGCCCGCCACGGGCCCCATCTGAGGGTGCACACCATCCCTTGGCCTCGCCCAGACCCAGGAGTTGACCTCTGCAGGAAGCCCCTGCTCCCAGCGGTCCTGCCCAGCTGGTCAATCTCATGGAGGGAGCCCTTGCTGCTGCCCAGCCCCCTGCTCCAGCCCTCCGGCCTGGCCCTGCTGCAACCGGTGCACCTCCCCACGCTGGCCGCCACTGAAGGGCCGGTTCTCATGGCGAGGAAGACTCTCCCGGAAACCAGACCGCACCCAGGCTACCCCACCAAAGGCTCGTGAGGCTGCCTGCACCTCTCTTTTCCTGTGGCCAGGAGCACCGTCAGGGACCCCTGGTAGGCCACTCCCAGGGTCCCCCCAGGTGCTAGCAGCTCTGGGGGGGGTACCCTCGGGACCCAAGGCCAGGTGGCCCAGCAGTGCCCTGAGGTCCACTCAAGCCCCTGTCGCTCACCACTCTCCCTCTGCCAGGAGACGGATACCTTCCCCAGCTTCCTTGTGCTCGCTTGTGTCCCATACCACACATATACACACACACTCACACGCACAGTGACAAACCACACCCAGTGACACACCTGCACACCAGCTCTCCCACGTATACATGCCTGTCGGGTGGCAGACTTTTACACATGCTAAAAGGCACTTTCACGTACCTACAGCACCCCTCCTCCCAAACACACACACACACACACACACACCCCTGTCCAAGGATGAACCTGTGAACATTCATCCCCTCACAGAAACCTCCTCCTCTATTTGGTGACACGTCTGGGCATATACACAACATGCACACCTGTGCAAGAGCATGTAACACACTCACACATACACACTCACACGCCTGCATGCATGCTCCCAGCCCTCCTCACCAGGGACAGACCACAGCGGCAGCTTTCCAACTCGCAACCCTATAATCAACTTAACCCTGACTTTGCTCCGAGCGCGTCCTGACTTCCCAGGGGACAAGGAACCTGTGGTCAGAGAGCTCACTGCCGCTGAGCTGGCCTCCAGCCCAGGTCCTCTGCCCCCAGGGCACACGCGCACACTCGGCAGGTCCACAGGTGTGCAAACTGCTGGTGCCCACAGACCCGACGGGACCTCGTCAGCCCTTCCCCAGCATGCTCGCGACCCCCATACCGGGAGACCCCCCAGGACAGAGCAGGGCCCATCAGCCCTCTTGGGGCAGCAGAAGCCGGTGCTGGTTTGGGGCCACCCTGAGTTATGGGGCGATCGTGTGACAGGTTTCTGCTCAGCACGGCTGGCTCCCGGGAGGGGCAGTTCCAAGGATCCAGTGGCTGAGGGGCTCCTGCCTGGGACCCCCTGGAGGATGCTGGGGGTGAAGAGCTTCCTCTCGTCCGTCCGTCGGTCCAGCCACCTGAGCGGGAGGCCCGAGGGCTGCGGGCACGTCAGGGAACAGGGTGAGGCCTACCTCCAGGCTGCGAGGGGTGGAGGATACACAGCAGAAGCAGGAGGGCTCCGGGCCACAGGGCTGCAGCTGTCGGACCCGCCATCTCGGGGAGAAATGCCCCAGCCCGCTCTCTGCGCCTCGTTTTATCCCCAAAGCGTAATTGCTGCCTTGTCGGTCTGCGAGGGAAAGAGGGAGGGAGAGAGGGCGGGCGGGAGGGCGGGAGAAGGGGGAGGCCTCGGGGAGGGGGCCGCGGGGAGGGGGCAATTACGAAAGGCCGGCTCACAGCCTCCCAGGCTGGGTCTGACTGGACTGGACTGTGGGCTTTTTTCCTTAAAACACACGTGCGTGCACACACACACACACACACACACACACACACTCTCTCACACACACACACACACAGAGTTTCCCCCATCTCTCTCCTGCTTTCCCTCTGTGGCTGTTCTTTCACTGCTGGCCCCGTTCCCCGCCAGAAAGTGCGAGGGGGGCCCCTGCCAGGACAGCCCTCGGGAGAGGAAACGGGAGGGAGGGCCCTGCAGGCCGGCCAAAGATCCGGCCCCAGCCAAGGCCTCAGTGGCCAGGCCCCCGCCCCTGCGGCTGGGCCCCGGGCCCAGTGTGGGGAGACAGGCCAGCTGTCCCGTGCCTCTGCCCTTACCCCAGCCTCCAGACTCCCTCAGCACTCCCAGACCTGGCAAGAGACAGCCCTGCCCAAAGCTGGGGACAGGGGTCCAGGGCCCAGGCCAGTATCCGTAGAGGTCGAGGGCCTGTGGGCAGAATGGCCGGGAAGGTGAGATCATGTTGGCACTGCCCCGTGGGGCACCTGGGGAAAGGAAGGGGGACCCTGAGGCGCTGCAGGGCTCCATTCTTTGTGGGCTAAGGTCACAGCCTCCTGCCTGAAGCTGGGGAGGGTGTGATGGGTCAGTCTGGGATCCACGGCTGCAGAGGCCAAGGGGCTGCGGGCAGAATAGCCTGGGGGTTAAGACTCTGTTGGTGTCATTCCCCAGGGCATCTGGGGCCATGTGGGAGACCCTGACACATCACAGGGGCTCCATCTGTCAGGGATCGAAGTGCAGCCCCATGCAGGCCTGTGGAGGTCACAGTGTGTGCTGAAGGCCAGGCTGGACCCCAGGTGCCCTGCAGAGAACCGGGGGGCTGGGGAGCCCATCCAGACTGATAGGTGGCCCAGCCCCCCTCTATCACTTGGCCCCCACCTGTCCCAATGCTGAGCATCCCTAGCACCCAGACCAGACTCAGGAGCCCCCAGACTGCCGGTTCTCTTCCTGCCCCAGAAGAACTCCCCGGGCTGACATTCCTTTGGTGGCCAGGAGGGGGCGGCCCTGAGCTAAAACAACAGGGACCAGCATTTCCAGAAGGACTCGGGCTGTTCCCGCCTGACTGTGCGGTATGGGGACCCTAGGGATTTGGGGGATGGGGGTGGGGTGGGAAACGAGGGGGTCACGCCGCCTCACCCAAGTGGGGAAGAAATTTGGGAGCCAGAGGATAGGAGAGGGAAACTGGTACCTGCCCTCATCACAGCCTGTGAGGGGGAAAAGTCAAGGCCATGAGTTCTGAGAGCTTTTCCCTGCACCCAGATGGAGAATGAGAGGAGGACACAGCCGCAAGTCAGAGGAAAGGGGTTAAAGGACCCCTCTTCCAGCCAGGAGCGCTGAAGCAGTCTGCAGGGCCTGCAGGGCCTGCAGGGGCAGCCAGGAGTGCAGACGCCAAAGGCCGGGCACTGGACTCGGTAGGACCTAGGACTAAATTCTTATTCTAGCACTTTCTAGCCGGTTAACCTCTCCAGAGAACTTCAGCTTCCTCATCTGTCGAATGGTGATAAATATTCCCGCCTAGGAGGTTATTGCAAAGATGGATAAGATGTGGTCATGTATTTCCGTACTGTGTCTGCAGATCCAAACGCTCTGTACACTAGTCCCAGTCCTGTAGCGCTACCGTAACTACATCAGTTCTGCAAGAACCGCTCCTGTGTAGGTACTAGGCTTGGCTCTATGCTGGGTCACCTTGGGACCCTGGACCATCCCTTCATCTCCCTGGTCTCAGGCGGCAGCTGCTCCAAGAGTTTGGAAGGGCACGCATGCTAGCAGAGCTGTCTTGAAGCTGTGCGTGCACAGCAAGTGTGCAGCTCTTACTTCCTATGTGTGTTATTTGGTGGTGATCTGGGGGTGGTTCACGGAGATTATGAGCCCCAGCCAACCCTTGTTGGTGCGGGTAGCGGTGCTCAGGGTTAGGGTCTGAGGCTCAGGGCCTGGCTTGTGCCTGCTGGGGGAAGGGAGGGGAGGCGGAGGGGTGGGGTGCATCTGCGTGCCTGCCCCCTCCTGGGGAGGGGGGAGGAAGGGGGTTCTGGGGAGAAGCTGGGCCCCATTTCTCTCGGAGCAGTGACGTGGGCAGGAACCGGCTTTCAGACTTTCAAACCGCAGTCTGCTCAGTCTTTATTAATTCCAGGACTGGGAGAGAGGCTGGTGCCAGCGGGAGAGGGCTTGCTGTGGGGATCAGGAGAGGTGTGGAGGGGCGCTTGCAGGGATAGACTTGAGGCTGCTGGGCCAGGTCGCTCCCCACAGGGCCAGGGCCCCGTGTTCTGTCCCCCAGCTACATCCCCCCTTCTCCTTAGCATCCTGTCTTACAGGAGCTCCATGAGCTCATATCCGACAAGGCTTCTGTACACCTCAAGAGGGGGCCTCAACTCAGAATCAAACCCAGCAGACTGATTATTCAGTGCAATTTAGCCCAATGCAGTCGATGCATAATGTAAGGACTGGGGGTTAGAATTTAGACCAACATTCATTCATTCAAGAAACGCAACAGTCCTCAACTGCTCAGTGCTCACCTTCCCGCATAGCTGTACAGATTAAATAAGGTCATAAATGTCGAACTGCCTGGTGCACCAAGTGCTGGAGGAGCTTGGCTTTACTGTTGTCACTGACAAGCATTACCCACCCACTTGCTCCTGGGCGTCCAGGTGAGTCACTGACAGGCTCTCCCTGTCCACCAGCATCTCCAGGTGTAGCCGTTTAGAAAAAAAGGAGCCCCAGCCTCCACTCGGCTCTCAGCATGTCATTGCTTTGCTCAGAAACCCTCAGTTGCCTCTCAGATAAAGTCCAGTCTTCTGAGTACGGCCTTCAAGGCCTTGCCTGACCCGACTCCACTGCTCTGCTGCCCTCCTTCCTTCTGGCTGGTGGAGCTGCTGCCCAGCAGCCTGGACTTGTCCTGGAGGGCTAGGTGCTAGACCTTTGTTGCTGAGGTTCCCTGGTCTCAGCTTCCTCCAGGTCTGTGCCCCTCAGCATCCCTGCCCCTGGAACCTCTCTGATGGTTCTTGAGTTGAACTTCGTGCTTTATCTTATCCCCCACTGACCGGCCTGGCCATCACTGAAGGCAGTTTGAGGACAGACCCATTTCCGTCTCCCTCGTTGTCCAAGAGTATGGGATGACAAACACAGATGTGCACACCAGGAGATGTGGGCAGAGTTCTGGTGGTATGGACAGAGCTCCAGAATCCCGGGAGGTGTTGTTTCTGTTTTCTTCCTTGTCTTCACATGGTCCTTTTATCCGTTGAATGCAGGATGCGCTGTGTGCATGGGACCTTGGACCAGAGGGAGTAAGCGTGCGCTGCTGGGCTAGGCTGGGAAGAGCTGGGTGTCATCCAGACCTGGGACCCCTACTGGGGTCCCTCCCAGTGAGGGGGCCACTGTTGTCAGTCATTTACACCTCTGTGTGGGTGAGTGTCCCTCCAGGTGGTCCCACAGGAAATAAGGTCCAGGTTATACCAATAGGGGAAAACATGAATTTCTCATGTGGACCCAAGTGAGATTTGGGCAGGAAATGCATGCTGGTTGGGTAGCGTAGGTTCCAGTGTAAACGCTACAAGAGAGAATTAGCAGGATGGCAGAGTGAAGGACCTCTGGCCCGTCCCCTCTCATCCATGAGACACAGCTGCGGACATGAAGTCCGAGCTTTCCCCTCTGATTTTAAACTTTCTAGTAGCCACATAAAATGAAAGAAAACATAAGTAAAACTAATGTGAATAATAAGCTATGTTTAACCCAATATATCTAAAAGATTATCACTTGAACAGATAACAGATATAAAAAATTACTCATGATGTATTTTGCATTCTTTTTTGTATTAAGTCTTAAAACTGGAGCGTAGCTTCCACTCAGAGCACATCTCGAGTTGGGTTACTCACATTTCAAGTGCTCAGTAAGCACATGTGGCCAGTGGCTGCAGGGTGGACGGTGCAGGGCGAGACCACAAGGGGTCTGGTGGGGATGAGCCCGACTTGGGACAAGCGAGGAGGGAATATCGAGGGTGGTTCCTGCTACTAAAAGGTTACAGGTGGGATGGGGCATGAGGGTGAGGGACAGAGGGAAGAAGGGAAGTCCTTGAGGGCCCGCAGGGGGAGGCCTGAGGCGCACACACCACAGGGGAGAGGCCACCATGCTGATGACCGAGCCAGAGGGGGCGGCCTCCTCCTGAGGGGCACCAGGCAGCCTCGGCCCAGAGCCAACATTTCAGGCAGGAGAGGAGAAAGGCCTTAGCATCTCGGTCTCCCCAAAGGCGACTGGGCCCTCCTCAGCAGACCTCACTGGAGGTAAATATGCTGCAGATCTGGGCGACTCACGGAATCCCATTTCATCACACGGGATCAGCCCAAGGGAAGTACAGGCTGTGCTCAGAGCGGGGTTTGGGAGTTGGGGAGGCGGGCTAGGATTTCTGCAACCCCCAGGCTGGGGCGCCGGGAGCAGGCTGGGGGTGCAAAGGGGCCAGTGGTCATCATTGTGACATGGATGAACGCTGGTTAGTGTGTGAGCTTGGATGGATCACCTTGTAATTCATACCTGATAATGGTGACGTTAATAGTAATTAACCCTCAGCAGCCCTCACTTTCTCTTACGGAGACAGGGGTCTTCACAAGCCTTTAAGATCGATGACTCATGTCCGTAAGAGTCTGGTTAAAGCAAGTGCTCAAAAGTGGGACGGGGTCCGTGACACCATGTCAGGCAGCTGAAGCAGATGTTTGAGGCTGGGGGAGCCAGAGGCCCAGGGGGAAGGCCCCTCCCCACAAGCGCCAGCTCCACCGCTGGCCCAGGGTGTCCCAGCTCCGGAGGCACGCATCTCTGATCCAGACACCTCTGCCCAGGCCTGGGTGTTTGTGTGTCTGAGTCATTTGTCAGTCTGGGTCCTTGACCCGTGCGAGCTGGGGGTGGGTGGGTGTCCCAGACGGGCCGTTCTGCCCCGTGCTGTTTCCACATTGCCTCACGGGCTGTCTGCTGCGGTCTGGGGAGAACATTGTGAGCCAGGTGCTTTCTGCACCCCTCCCCAGGGGACCCAGGACAGAGGAGTGCAGAACACGCCTCTCATTGCTTTCACACTTGACAGTTTACAAAGCACA